CTATGAATCATTCATCACTCACACTTTCATTCAAATTTCCTTTAAACATTCTGTTTTAGGGAAATTCGTTTAAAAATCTATCGAGTACACATACACAACAGGTAATTATAAAAAGTAGAGACCCATGAGTAGATACATTGGTTGTTTCCCATTCAATAAAGAAACTGATTCCAATGATTTAATTCCATACTTTTGATTTATTTTTGCGCCTAATGGAACATAATTTGATGTAGAATAGAGCTAATTACGATTACGAAAACTAATAATATACCATAATAGAGTACATAATGACGTGATTCAAGACTCAGGAATACTTTTAGACATAGAATAGGAACAGCGAAACTGCTAAGTACCAAGAAATCGTATAAAACAAAATCGAAATATTAAAAATTGTAGATTACTATGAAAACTATCACAATAAAATATGAATATTTTACAGCACAGAATATTAAAAAACAATTTTAAAGTAAAATCAAGATTTTGAACACAGTAAAAATCTCAACAGTTCGGGAAATTAGCTTCTGAAACACTTACATAATATAATTAACTATCGGAATTCATTGTACCATTACTTTTTGTGATAAAATTCAATATATGGGACTGGTTTACGATAGCAACAAAATTATTATTATGTTGTTCATCTAAGATAATAGCATAATTTTCTTTTTCAAGAATACGTGACAGTTGTCCAAGACTTGCTGATAATTTCACTTTAACGAAATGTTTTGTCATATGTTTCTTTATAGATTCTGTAAGTTGTATCGCACCAGATACTAATTTTGACATAAACGTATTAAAAATAATAACACCATTTACGTGCTTATTGTCGTTACTAATGACTAGTTGTTGAAGTTTAGTCTCCTCAAAAGTATGGACAGCTTCTTGACATGTTAGATTATCGTTAAACATAGGTACCTTGTTAAAAGCTAAACGCGAAATCGGTATATTCCACCACCATTTATTTGCGTCATTTTGGCACGAAACTTCCTATAATGCATTATAAAAATATGTTATTCAAAAATGAAGTAAGATAAAATGAGTTACAAATTATAAATTTGTAACCATACCAAAAAGCCTCTAGCTTCCATCCAATGATCAGACACAAATTTTGTCATATAGTTTCGTATTCCATCAGGTAAAAGGACAACCACTCGTGTTCCTTCAGGAAAATCTTTAACAAATTTAAGAGTAGCTGCAAGTGCAGCTCCACTACTGCCACCACATAATAAACCTTCGTGGCGTATAAGCATTCTAGCAGCATTAAATGATTCATTATCTTTAGTTTTGATCCATTTATCAATCACACTGTGATCCAAAGCTGTTGGAATGAAGTCATAACTGAAAAAATATATTTCAATTAAATTAAAATTCAAAATAAAATCGAATTTTTAATAAAATAGGAAAAAAGTTAATTTACCCAATTCCTTCTACTTCATAAAAGCCAACCTCGTCTTGTAATTCTGGTGAATTAGCTAAAATACTCCCTTCAGGATCTATAGCAATAATTTGTGTCTGTGGAGACAATTCCTTAAATTTACGACCAATTCCAGAAATAGTGCCGCCAGTACCAGCTCCAGCTATCAAATAATCTATTTTGCCATCACACTGTTTCCATATTTCCAATGCAGTTTGATCATAATGAGCCAATGGATTTCCAGAATTAATATACTAAACATAACATGTAAACAAAAAATAAGATATGAAATAAATAGCTTCACTTTAATGATATATTCTCATCGAAAAAGATAGTCCTAAAGCAGGGTAGTAGAAAATGGTCATTTTTGGCCTTGTCTGGAAATGAAAAATTCTTGCCTTAACATTTACAGTGGCATCCATTTAGGATATAATTAGGATCAGCATAAAAAATACTATCAAAATTCATATTTTCAAAATTTCATCTGGAGAAGTGCTTGAACACCCTCCCTTAAGTGAGGATTGAGATTGAGTATATACAGAGTGGCCTATAAAAGTATTTCTCTCTCTCTCTCTCTCTCTCTCTCTCTCTCTCTCTCTCTCTCTCTCTCAATACACCTTTTAAAATACTAGACTAAATCATCTTTTAATTTTTTATCTAAGCCTATAACCAAAACTTAAAAAATGCCTTTCATAAATCTCGGTAACTTATATGCATGCTGAAAATTTAATCAAAATTGGTTAACCCAAAGTTAAGCTACAAGCATTGGAAGATTAAAGAAGCTGCAGATTTCTTACATCTTTTATAATACTATAGCTCTGATATTTTTAATTATGAAATCCGTCTGTTATGATTTGAAAAATGCTTATTCTTTGTGTCTTATGTCAGAGTTCGCGATAAGAGTCTCAGATAGTGCGGATGTTAATACAAAGCACATTTTCTTTTTTTAAATCAGCAAATGGAAGTGGTTATCTTAAACTCTTAAACTATTGAACTTGTTCCTTGCAAAAGCATTACACGTAATATAATAAATATAATGTAAATCTATTATAAGTGTAATGTAACATAATTAGTGTAGTTTAAGTGTGAATATAACAGTAATCGGACAGTAGTCAAACAAAATGATGGAGAAGATGTTTACAACCTGTAACAAGTCACTTAAAAAATTAGCCAGAAAGAATTATTATTGGTCTGATTTTTGTCAACTTTCTCACTGGTCGTCAACAAAATGGTGCAGCAAGAATTTTTCATTTCCAAGCAGGAGCAAAAATGACCATTTTCTCGTACTCTCTTTTATAGATCTTTCTTCATCCTTACAGGTAGTAATTTAACCACTCATTTTGTAATCGTTCTATATGTATATTGAAAGGAATAACGAATTATGTTATTAAACGAAGATTACCTGATCAAGAACAATACTATTTGGTATTTCCTTTTCAAGCTTTTTAGCAACGTTAATATGACTCTCCGGACTGTCCCAACTTGCTTCTGTTGGTGTCCTAACAATTGTAGCACCAAGTATTTTAAGTGTATTTACTTTTTCATCTGACATCTTTTCTGGCATAACAATAATACATTTGTAACCTTTCACTGCTGCAGCCATTGCTAAGCCAATTCCCGTGTTACCACTTGTAGGTTCAATGATGGTATATCCTGGTTTCAACAAATTCTTTTTTTCTGCATCTTGAATCATTCTATATGCAATTCTATCCTTTACAGATCCACCAGGATTAAGAAATTCACATTTTACAACTGAAAAATGAATTATTTATTTGTAGTTCTGTGTATATCAATAATAATATTATGAAATTAATACTAACAAATGTCACATTTAATTCCATACAACTTAGGGATATTGTTTAATTTTATCATCGGTGTTTGTCCAATAGCTGTCAGTATATTAGGCAATATTATATTATGGTCAGGTACTCTGGAAGAAGTTTTATATTAAATCACATTTGAACAACTGTATTAAATTCTAAAGCATTACTTACATTAGCATTGAAAAAAAACAGCTATTATTTTTGTAACACATGTGTTATTATATTTTCCCTTACAATTAACAAAAACTTTTTGAATTTTATACATTCTTAATGTTAATTATTTTTATTAATGTCATCATTCAATTATTTATTATCAAAATAGTTAATTGTAACTATTTTGTTTCAAACACATTTATCAATTTTAAAAACTAATATTAATTTTTTTAATTTAAACAATTTACGTTAATAACAACAACATAATATAATTGTATCATAGTTTTTGTATTATTGCTTATGAAATCGTTCTAAGTAAAAACGGTAAATCTGCAGTTTAGTGACTGCTCTAAATGCGCTTATTTTTCTCCAGTTTTTTAAAACGCTTTATGTTATTATTAAAAAGAAATATAAATCGGGGGAGTTTGGAAAAGTAATGCGCTTTTACTAGTTTCTTGTAACAAAAACATAAAATTTGAAAAAAAATAACAGAGTGCGTGAAGAAATTCCGATCATTTTTAAGTATGTTCTAGAAAACAATATTTTGAACAATTTTTTACTTTAAAAAATTGAAAAAGTTGAATTCTGAGATATTTAGAAAAAACTGTTGCTACTGTTGAAATTCGCTTATATGTGCATGAATGTGCACAAATGTCCATGTCACGGTAGCCTGTATACATAAGCCAGCGATCATCGCTTATCTCCTGTTTCTGTCTATTCTCGTCGCGGTGATCGATGAATATTAATTAAACACGCAACAGTTGTTCCCTAATATGTATCTCAAATACGAAGGCCAACCAACACGAAAGGTAGAAACGTTTCAATATCACGTCCCGTGAAATCACTTAAAATCATAGGATGATCCATGAACAGCGTGACGTGATGTTGATTTGTTTCTAACAGATTTGAGATAATAGAAACAAACCGGTTCGCATTCAACGAATGTTACATGATTTCACGTAATTTTACGTTAATATTAGTGTATTTCTACCTTTAGTGTCGGTCAACCTTTGTCTTCGGGATATGTTGTGTATTTAATATCTATCGGAAAAAGTTGTTCAGAATAAAAATCATCGAGATCGGCATAGTCATTCTACATAATTAAAAAGAATTTGCGAATGTCATGTATTTTCAAAAGCTAGAAAAAGCAGATTACTTTTCCAAACTTCCCCGATTTATATTTCTTTTTAATGGTAAAATAAAGTGTTTAACACGTTAAGCGCCAAGCCTGTTTTGTCTTGCTGCTTTTGTCTACCTGCGAATACCGTATTTTAATAATACTCATTAAAATTTTTTTTGGTAAAAAATAATATCTAGGTACATNCTCTTATGCTCTATATTAACACTTTTACTCTGCATCAGTCTTATCTTTTCGCTTGCGAAAATTAAAGTTGTAGATTATCCCAGAAAAGACAAGATATTGATCATATCCTGCGGCAGTGTCCTATTTATGATATACAAAGATTGAAATTTATTCAATAATTGTAATTGCGTAACTGATTTCTTCCACTATATGTAATTTGATACTCGCAAAGCTCGCTACTGAGATTTGTCGGATGTTCTATATTCTTCCCTGAAAGAATGCGGACTAAAAATATAGTATGAGGTAGTGTGAATCTCCGCGATAAGTGTAACTGTGCCTTAACATAACAGTACACATTAACACGTTAAGCGTCAAGCCTGTCTCGTTTTTTTTCGTTTAGCCCGCGTTGCAACATTCTGTGAATGATTTTTCGATAATAAATAATATTTAGGTACATTCTTTTATGATTTCCAAATTATTTAAAATTTATTTATATAGAAGAATATAATTTTTTAAATTGTATATCGTCAGTCATAGTTTGCTGGCGCCATCCAAACGGAAAATATAGTGTCAGTACTGTCAGTCGCCGGTGACTGACATGGCGCTTAACGTATTAAAAAAGAAATCGGTGGAAAATAATCGCATTTAAGGCGAAATCACTAAACAGCAGATATATCGTTGTAGAATTTATTAGATTTAATATTTTTATTCAATAAACTTACTCTGTTCTAACAGTATGTGGTGAATTTGTTGCATTTAATTTCCACGTGCAATTACTGAGTCGGTCAGGTCGATACGGTTCCATTGATGCCATTAAAATACTTACACAGTTCAATATTATAATTACTGTAAACAAGTAATAAAGATTTTCTTTCTGTTTTTAAACTGGTTTTTATTTAACGAAAATAATATGCGTTTCCCGCGGCTTACATATGTGTATAGTAACCTATTATACTCTTATGCTTTTTAAAATGAATTATATTACGAAAAATTTGATCTCAGAAATAACTAATCTTACAATTATAAATATGCACACGCGCGCGTAAAGTACTGTTTATAAATTGAAAACAGCAACTCAGATTTCAATCACATGCACATGTAAGCCATGTAAGTACTATGTACCACATCCAAGGTGTGGAACTGCGTGGAACAGTGTGGAACCTTAGCTTGGACTGCTTGAACTATAAGCCTGTGTTTGCTACAGACTATCCCCACCCTGAGCCCCGATCGCCATTTTCCTATGCAATCTGGGACAGAGTTGGGCAAAATGTAATTGGAAAAATGACTAGTGATTATGATTACAATCACTTCTGTAATAATAACTGATTGCAGAATACTAGTGACTAGTCATTCGTGGGACATGCTTATATTAGTCACATTAGTCATTCGTAAAAACCTGACTACATACATTAGTTATTAGTTAGAAAGCAGCACTATTAGTTATTAGTTTATCGAATGAAGAACTAAATAACATCAGCTAGCGGTAGCATAGGGAAGCCATAGAAAGAGATGCTCCTTAACTCCTTAGCTCTTTCCTACCATGGTCGTCGGCATTGTATTTTCTCTTTATTTTCCCACTTAATAAGACTATAAACGTTGTTTCAAATTTCTATCGTATCGCTCCACTGTCATTCCTACAAGCCACGAGCGTATAATAATATATTATACGCAATACTCTATTATATACTATACGAGCGTATAAAATAATGCGGCTTCTTTAACTACACTTCGCATCCTATAATTCTTTTAGCTTTACCTTTCTTACATGTAAATTTATTTAATACATTTGTGAGACTTATTACTAATTAAAATAAGACCAAACATAATATAATTCAAACTACAATTAATAAAATAAAGTATGTTATAGCACGATGAGTTGAATTCTTTAAACAACACATGGACAGAGCCATGCGGTCATGGACCTGAAGGCTCATTTCCACTGGTTTGATCTAAGCCGCGTAGCTCTGTCAACCGAATGAGCTGATCCTTGTAAAATCCGCGTTTCCACTGTGTCGGCACAGACCAATCGGGCAAATATCAAAGGAAACCGTGTCAAATCATCGGCACGAAGAACAGTTTTGGTCCTAAAGTAGAATTTGGGACAAAATTAATAAGTTTAAAATTCTTTCCAAAAATACTGCTAATTCATATGATAATGTATCAATTCATGAAAAGAATACTGTTTCATTAAAAAAAACTGTGTATCTTCATGATAATATTGGTTAATATTTTCAGTTCGAATAAATTTGAGCAAATAAAGTTGCTTTTAAGGTAAAGTTTAAAATGTCTAAAAGTAGAACTGATGTACCATTCTTCCACGAGAAGAAAGCATGACCCATTTCTGCTGCAGTCCGTTGTCCCTCCTATAACCACAGGCAGTGATCGATATTGGTCGAAGACAGTGACAAAGGTCAACAACCTTTGTTGATATAGTATAGATGGCGGTTATTGTTTTTAAAAAATGACTATGGTCGAAAGTACCAACCTTACAAAGCTTAAGTTTCAAGTTTGAAGGCGCTACATTGTTTAGCATTTGTTTGACAGCCATTAATAGTAAACGCTCTCAATGAATTTGTAAATATAGAAAAAAAATTGGTCATCGTTATGTGATGCAATATTTTCATTTGAAAGATTATGTCAAAGTCATGTGTGGTGGCGCATGCGCAGGAAGTCCTGCGCAGCGGCGTGGACAATCGCGACAGCAGAAGCCTCTGTCTGATCGTAGTTCAGGATTGAAATGTTCACCCAGTAGACGCTCTACGCTGCTGTGTGGGATTCCCTGCGCATGCATCACCTTGCGCAGTGACTTTTCCTGACTGCACTGCCTGAGATATATGTATATTGCTATCACCAACTATCACTGTATTGTCTCCAACCCTCCAAGCTGCAGCTGCCTGATCCTGATTTACAATCGGCTCTACGTGCGCTTGCGTGTTCTAGTATGAAAATCGGCTGTATCGAAGGTATTACACCTATTCCATCTGAATTTACGCGTAGAAAGGGTGATCGTCTTTTGTAAATTCTGGTTGTATTCACGATTTATCTTTCAAAAATAAATATTTGAAGATATACCATAGTATTATACTTTTGTGTTTTCCTGGTGTAATATATAAATAATAGTTCAAATCTGATTTAAGTCATATATTTTTTATATACATATATATAGTTATATTTTTTTTTCTACAAATAATTTATTTTTTTTCTTTTGTGGTACTATAAAATATAAAATAATTATTTCGTTAAAAAAGAATGTTAACGGATATCAATAAGTTAATATTATTTAAGGAATGAAGTTATTTTTATATTCTCGGATTACATAGTACGAAAGCTTCCATAATCCATGCTGTAATAGCTCTTACCAAAAATTGAACTTATAGTAATTATTAAGCATTGCCGACAATATTTCCAACAGTCAAATACAACTTCACTTTTAGATCCAGCTTTTTAGACGCTTTATTTTCTAGCGTTGTAATCGTATTCACGTGTTCATACTGCATAACAAACCCAATAATGATTGGTTCATTTTCTTTGTGTTCCTCCAAACTATTGTGCGGAGTTATATAGATTTTTATTACTGTCTTGTTACCTTTTCGCCAAACTATATGCCTTTGTAGACGATTTAAAATTAAAACATATTTGAAAATACAGTCGCAGATTAGAATATACAGGGTGTAATTATCGTATTTCCAGGAAACGGTAGATTCCTGAGGTCATTTGAAGTCATTTTTCCTTAGTAAAAATGCAATTCGCGGCTTTGTTTACGAGTTATTATCGAAAAACAGTGAACAATCAAATGACCTTAGGAACCCCTCATTTCCAGGAAATTCGATAATTTTGGTACACTCTGTAGAAATACATACTTGGGATCATCTTGTAAGTCATAAGTGTCACCTGTATCATCATATTCAGCGGCATCATCTCTAGGTGCAAGTATTATAGAAGCCTGAGGCAAAAGTACATCTGCATTTATAGTAACTTTTATGGGTTTAGTGTCTTCAGTGATAGGAATTTGCCGTACGATAGACGGCAATAAATTTGGAGACTCTGAATCCTATCAAAATAGTTAAGACAATTTTTCAAAATGGAATCTAGATTTGTACCTCTACCTCTACCTCTTGTATTGCTTGAAGCATAATCTACTTCTTAGTAAACTAAATCGAACATTTACCTGTTGAACATTTTCTTCTTTTACATCTCCTTCCTTGGATGTAATTTCTATAGGACTCATTGGCGCATCCAATGGTAACAATGTTATTTGAGTTTGATGTTGAGTTGGATTACAAAATTTTAAAAGCAGTTCGCTTGTTTCACCAGATCTCAATGGTTCACAAGTAACAATTCTTACTTCTGGTACATGATAACTATGGCACAGATGTATGAATTAATTAAACGCGGGAAAGTGTATAAAATATTGTATACTTACTATGCAGCAAGTTGAATCTTGAACTTGGTGGATTGTGCACAGAGGTCCGGTTTACTAACACTATGCTCACATGCTCTACAGCGTTCTGATCTTTTAACTAAATATTTTCGGCGCTGTGGACGTAATTCATTCATGTTTTCTACTTGCATCTCCAAGTGTTGTAATCTTTGTTCCAATGTAGTAACTATTTTAAAGGAGTAGTTTTAGGTGTACAAAATTTTATAATGATATAATTCCATTTTAAATAACCACTTACTTTTAGTAATATCCACTGGATCTGTAAAAATGTTTGCTGGTAGTTCTTCCACATTTTCACTAGCAATAGATGGAGGAGGTTGATCGCTAGATTGGTATTTACTGGCAGTATATGTAGGATAAACAATCCGTTTGAGAGACAAAGGTATTATAGCATAGGCCTGAAGTTGAGCGATATAAATCAAATACACACTTTTGATAGTAAAACAAAAGTTTAAAATAAAGGTTATTAAAATACTTTACATCCACAGAAGGACACTTTGGTCGAATATTTTTCTCCCACTCTAGCTTCTCTATGGAAGCCAATATTTTATGATATTCAATTAAAGTATTAATTCGTCCTACATATGGATTTTCTTGTTCAGGCCAACCTCCAGTAGCTAAATGAAACACATATCTTTATATGGTCATTTAATTTATTTAAAAATTATATGTAACAAACATTCTAACTACGTACCAATAGTTTGATCAGGAATACCAGCATCTCTAGAAGTCCATCTACACATTGAACAAAATAAGTAGTAAAATTTCTTTGGTGGTGTTTTAACATCTTTGGATTCTCCTCCTTCAGGAGGTGCTGTTTTAAAGGGTATATGCCCTGCTCTTGTAGACAAGGTATGAAAGCAACAAGGACATTCAAAACAATTTGAACATCTGTTAACATAATATTGAAATTAATGTAAAATTCAATACAAAATTTTCGTTTAAGAAAAACATACTTTTGAGCAACTTTAACTTACTTATTCTTCTCGAGTCGTGCTTCTACAAATGTGGAATTTTCCAAGCAATTAGGACAATAATATGTGTCGATCTATAAAAAAGATAACACATAAAAATACGAACGACAAAAACAAACATTAAATAATAATATCAAATAATTACTTCTTGACAGTTACAGTAGCCGCATCTTATTTTCGAACAGTGCCTACAAAAATAAGTTTGTGATATTGGTTTCAAAGATCCACAGCTACAAACGTAACGCACGTAATCGGGCTGATTTAAATATGACATAATTATGGATTAAATTGTAATTTTATTTATAATTTATATAAAATAACGATATAAGGGGTGACACTTCGAACAATCTGTCTTGGAAACTTTTCATTTCCGCCAAAAATGAGTATGTAGGTATTATTTTATACATGGCATACCAAAACGAGTAGAATGACTTATGTAAAATACAGTCTGTAACTTTTTATTCGATTGGACCGATTCGAAAGTGACCGATCGCTGATTGGCGATCGTTCGATGTGGTTCGTATCAAAAAATCCTCCACCGATTTTTACAACCCACGCATTTGAAACTAACTATGCTATAACTAGATACATTTATTTAACTTAGTTATATCTAGATAACGCGTCGAAAGTAGGCAGTCATAGTCAACGTTAGAGATGGCGCGATTAATCATTAACAGTGATTTATCACTGCAATCACAGAATCACGATCGCGGTCGCGATTTAACTTCATTCACGACCGTGATCGTGATTTTTGGTTTTGACTGAATTTATTACATGTGATTACATTTGTATATCCAGAGTATCGGTGCACATAATATCGACATTCAAATATATCGATATTACCAGTATCGAATGTATCGAGACTTCCGAGGAAATTATAAAATAATATCCATGAATGTAAATAAATTATTTATTCATACATGTCCTTTTTAATATTATACATTTGCTTTATTACTTCATTAATAAATACTATTGTAATAAGTATGTAGAGAGAGGAGTTACACAAAAACTAAGTCTAATATGTGTGTAACAAATCATATTCAAAACGAAAAAAATTTTTCTGTTTACGATAAATGTAACGATCGCAACAAAATTTCGTATAAAATAAATATTGATACTCAAATATATAGTAATATTAAATATCGATACAGATAGTCCATCACTACCTTCCGTTCTATGTGATTTTCTTTGGTATATGCATATTGTGTGTTGTACCATCTAAATGTGATTTATGGTTTACAGTAATGAAAGACTTTCGATTCCTACGTTCCACGAATTTTTCGTTTGTGCTTTGTCCTTTTTAAGACTGATTCTGCGGAGGCCAATTAGTTTTGGGATTAGCAACGTTTCGTCATTGGATAGTTATTTAAAAAAACGGTAAAACGAGGACGCATCTGAAAAGTCCAACCGTTTTATCTGGGTGACGCCATCGGCCTAAAGCCTCGGAGCTTTAAAATCTCCAAAGGCCTACAGGCATTAGCACAACCAAGGTAAGAATCCCACAACACGTTCTTAGTAAAATTCATGAAATATTTTGTACTTTTTTTCAAAATGGTTTACAAAATTCCGAGAAATCGTCCGTTCAGAAATTTACAGGTTCAGCTGCAGCTATACCTAAAATCAATGCAGTGTTAACCTCAATGCAATCGTGAAAATACTTGAATGAACTCGTATTCAATGTAACGATTAAGATGTATTAGGGTTGGGTGGCAGTAACATTTTCAAATAATTAAGTATCACTGTTAGTTTTGTTTTGTAATTCTTGCACTGTTTTAGGACCAATAAAAGTCTAAGTATTATTTAGTAAAAATGTGTTGTCATATTAATTCAGTACTCTAAGATCTTATAATAAATTTTACGATATATTAGAATTAAATAAATTAAGTAAAGTTGTATTACTAATTTTATAATTTATTCTTTGNAAGTAGGCAGTCATAGTCAACGTTAGAGATGGCGCGATTAATCATTAACAGTGATTTATCACTGCAATCACAGAATCACGATCGCGGTCGCGATTTAACTTCATTCACGACCGTGATCGTGATTTTTGGTTTTGACTGAATTTATTACATGTGATTACATTTGTATATCCAGAGTATCGGTGCACATAATATCGACATTCAAATATATCGATATTACCAGTATCGAATGTATCGAGACTTCCGAGGAAATTATAAAATAATATCCATGAATGTAAATAAATTATTTATTCATACATGTCCTTTTTAATATTATACATTTGCTTTATTACTTCATTAATAAATACTATTGTAATAAGTATGTAGAGAGAGGAGTTACACAAAAACTAAGTCTAATATGTGTGTAACAAATCATATTCAAAACGAAAAAAATTTTTCTGTTTACGATAAATGTAACGATCGCAACAAAATTTCGTATAAAATAAATATTGATACTCAAATATATAGTAATATTAAATATCGATACAGATAGTCCATCACTACCTTCCGTTCTATGTGATTTTCTTTGGTATATGCATATTGTGTGTTGTACCATCTAAATGTGATTTATGGTTTACAGTAATGAAAGACTTTCGATTCCTACGTTCCACGAATTTTTCGTTTGTGCTTTGTCCTTTTTAAGACTGATTCTGCGGAGGCCAATTAGTTTTGGGATTAGCAACGTTTCGTCATTGGATAGTTATTTAAAAAAACGGTAAAACGAGGACGCATCTGAAAAGTCCAACCGTTTTATCTGGGTGACGCCATCGGCCTAAAGCCTCGGAGCTTTAAAATCTCCAAAGGCCTACAGGCATTAGCACAACCAAGGTAAGAATCCCACAACACGTTCTTAGTAAAATTCATGAAATATTTTGTACTTTTTTTCAAAATGGTTTACAAAATTCCGAGAAATCGTCCGTTCAGAAATTTACAGGTTCAGCTGCAGCTATACCTAAAATCAATGCAGTGTTAACCTCAATGCAATCGTGAAAATACTTGAATGAACTCGTATTCAATGTAACGATTAAGATGTATTAGGGTTGGGTGGCAGTAACATTTTCAAATAATTAAGTATCACTGTTAGTTTTGTTTTGTAATTCTTGCACTGTTTTAGGACCAATAAAAGTCTAAGTATTATTTAGTAAAAATGTGTTGTCATATTAATTCAGTACTCTAAGATCTTATAATAAATTTTACGATATATTAGAATTAAATAAATTAAGTAAAGTTGTATTACTAATTT